TTTAAGTGCTGTTTACCAAGGCCATGACACACAATTTGCTAATTTTTCTGGATCTGCGAAAACCCCGGTAAGGAAGGCTAACCCATGGAGGAGCACAAGATAGGAAGGCCCAGAGAAGGGGACAGCCAGCATGGAGGGAATCCTGCTCAGTGAACAATGGCTGAATTCAAACGCTCTACCACAGGCTTGGAGAAATGGCTCTGTGGTTAAGGGTGCGTACAGCTCTTCCAAAGGACTCAAGCTCAGGTCCCAAATGAGTGCCAACATCACTACTAGAGGTGTGTGTAGGTGTGCTGAGATTGCCCCGGGGGCTTCCAGGAAGCAGCTGGGTGCTATGTTTCCCAATTACTCATTCAGGGACTTCCCATGACCCTCACCTGAAACCAGCTGTGGCGGAAGAATGTATACCATAGAAACCAGCAAACTAGGAGCTGAAGAGATGCCTCGGTGGGTAAGAGTGAGTACTGCCTGAAGCTCTGGCTCCACACGCCGGATGCTCTCTTTTAGCCCCTTGGGCATCTGCACCCACATGAACACACATACACATAATTAATTTTTTAATGGCAAGCCAGAAAGCAATATATACCATTGCATCCCTGGGTCTCTGTTTTGCCCATTTTCACCAAGGCTTGGAGTGATATTAAGCCAAGCAACTGACCCCCAAGTCTGTCTATGTCCTCATCAACTCCAATTCTCAGAAGACTTTGCTTCCTTCTGAAGAATCCAGCTACGAACTGAAATGTCACAAGAAAGAAATGAGTGTCATAGCTGATTCGATTTTGAATATTGGAAGAAGTCTTCTAATCCCCCTGGACCGACACTACCTAAGCTATTGACACAGAAGATCTGCATTCCAGCTGGGTGCAGTCCTCATACACTGGACAACGCTTCCCGAGAGCTGCTATATACAAGCAGATACACTTTGTGTGCTTGGATGCACACATGAGTGCAATTCTGAACAAATCTGGGAAAATAAAATCCATGACTGCTTCTCTTAGGGACATGATGAACAGGAAGAATGTGTTCCATATTGGAGGGCAAGAGGTTCTGTAATGCTTCATTACATGGCACAGCAGCTAACTTTTAAATAAATGAGGAGGTCTGTTTGGTCCAACCAGCACATGTAGCACAACAATGCCCATGAAGCTGGGCAGGGGAGGGGTGTATGTGTGGGGGTGGGTAGTATTTGAATGCTCCTTCACTCGGTCTGAGAGTGCTGGGACCAGGGCGCTTGGGTGTATAGGATTTTAGGGACCTGTTTATGGACCTCTGAATTAGGCCCTCAAGGGCAAGACTTGAGCATCCAGGATTCCAAGCATTCAAACAGTTTTGGAGATGGTACCTGGGAAGAGACTATCTACAGCAAGATAAATAATTGCCCTGGAAGGTATCAGTCCCTAGTCCCCAGAATCTGTAGAGGTTGCTTTATATGAGGAAAGTCTCTAAAGATGAGAGCAAAAGGATCTTAGACTGCCTCAGATCATCTGAGAGCCCCCCCCCTCCCAAAAAAATCACAAGTCCTTTTAAGAGGGAGGCAAAGGGAAACTGGCCATGGAAATGGAGGAGGTCACGTGACCGCGAGACACAGAATGCTGTGTCCATAGCCTGGCATGCCTTCCAGCCCCTCTCTCTGTGGCGCTCACATTTGAGTCTGCAGGCACCATCACTGGCCTCTCCTTCCTCTTGACAGTTAGTTCTCTGTTCCTCTACACTGTGCTGGTCTTCCAAACTGCTGGGAGTCATCAGGTAAACTCTATGATGTCTCACTGAGTGAGACATCCAGGAGACAGCTTGTGGCTGTCTAAGAGACCACCAGAGTGCCATTCAGAAATAAGAACCCAAGGTTGCTCATTTTTGAATATTTTTTTTTTCACGAGAACACACACACACACAAACACTTTTATGAGCTCTCTTAATTCTGTAATCTGGTAACTAATTTTTAAAAAATGTTTAAACCCTGTGTGTTGAACAAAAAGCTGTCTGTCTGCCTGGTTCAGTCTGGCACTACCAGGGTGTAGCCTGTGTCTGAGGTACCAGCTGGCAGTATTTGCCAGCTGGATTATTCTGTTGTGACCACAAACTGGACTACAGCAGGATGGCCATTTTCTTCACCTGTCCCTTCTTAGAAGTGGGTGGCACAGCCACATGACCTTTAGAACCCCAGAGCCTAGAAAACATAGACCTCTCCACAGGCAATCCTTCATGGGGACTGCATGAAAAATAAAAGAACAGGAGGAGGATTGCAAGGGAGGGGCGTAAAGAATACAATAACCTTTCTATCGGCAGAAAGTCAACAGGATGCAAGCAACTCTCTGATGGCAATAAAACTGCACGTGGGTACCTGTGGTGGTTAGGTTCAATAGTGAATCTTTCTAAAATCCCCTGGGAAGGGAGTCTCGATGAAGGTCTGTCTAGATTAGGCTGGCCTGTGGGCATGCTTGTAGTAGATTTTTTTTTTTAAAACTTGGGTTAGTTTAGGTAGAAGACTCACTCAGAATGTAGGTGGGACCATTTCATGGGCTGGGTGCTAGGCTGAATGAAAAGGAGGCAGACAGAGAACTAAGGGCTACATGCATTCATTCCTGCCCTCTGCTCATGACTGTGGATTTCATCTGTCTAGAAGCCGCCTGCTCCTGCAACCTGGATTCTCACACACACACACACACACACACACACACACACACACACACACACGATGATGGACTGTAACTTGGAATAAGCACCTTTCTCCCTTAAGTTGCTTCTGTCTGGACATTTTCTCAGAGCGACAAGAAAGCAAGCTAAGATGGTCTTTAAGGGACAGTTCAGCTAAATTCTCAATACGCTGGAGGTTTTTGAGTGGAGGGTGGTATCCTGTTGGGCCCCAGCTTTCTGTGGGTGGAGACTTCATCAGAGCATGGTCATCAGCCAGCTGATAAGGACAGGCCTTTGTTCTTGACCCCTGAAACCTGAGGCTGCTTTGGATGAAACGAACAGGCGTGGCCCAGGGAAGTGAAATGACCTGAAAGTTCTTGTTCAGATAGGCCTCACTGGGCCTCAGTTTCCCTAAATGCAGAGGGAAACTGGTTCAATATTTGTTGTATCCTTATGCCAAAAGCATGATCATTACCATTTTCCTGTAAAATTCACCAAATTACAAGAGAACACAGCCATAGAAGGAAAAAAAAAAAAACCATTATCCTGTGACGAACACATACAGATCACACAATCCAAGAGAACCCAGACCGATGTGTTCAAGTCTAGGCACCTGGGCTGCGAGCTCTGGACCTGGGACAAAGGGTGCCTGGGAAGCGACGGAGCACGCTTTAATCCGTAGTCAGGATGTTGCAGGATCCCTGGCTCAAGGCAGGGGCTGGGGTAAGCATCAGTAAGAATGACCTCGAAAGAAAAAAACCCCTAAAGTTTGAGGAGGCCTCCGAGCCCGGCGCACCCGAATTTTCGAATAGAAGCTTAGCGGGGCCAAGACTTCTCCTCAGTCCTAGACGTTCTCTGGTGACCCCAGGACGCTTCTACTCAGTCACAAATCAATACCAAAGTCTAGAAAGGATACAGGTTGGTTATAACCCCAAACTTGATCTCTCCCAACGAGTTAGAGGAGACAGTCCTCCTTGGAAAGACACTAGAGAAAGACGGAGGCTAGGAGAAAGCAGGGTGGAAGGCTCAGGCGGTTGATGGTGGGTTCGGAGGGCCATCTGAGGACCAGCACGGAAAGCCAAAGAGTTCAAATAGTTTGAGGTTCTCGCATTAGTCTGACTCTAAGGCCACCAGTGGTTAGAGACCTGCAAGGGATCGAACCTAGGGAGCTTTGAATCTGACAAAGTTTCCATCTTTGTTTCATTTCTGGGTCCCGAAACGCCCGAGACAACCTTACATACACATTGCCAAGGATACCTGGGAGTCCTAAGATTCTGTTTGCTGGGCCAGGAATTTAAACGGACCCCAGCTCTCTCTGGACGGGGCTGTGTCTCAAAGCCTCTGCCCGCTCCCTGGTCAGTCAGTGGTTCCTTTTCCCTGATCTCCTGGCTCATGAAACAAGGCCTGTACAGACCTTGGCTTTGGACTCACCCCCTGGCACACCCCACCTCGCAAGCCCTCAGCAAAGTCAGAGAGGCGCCTTTCATGGCTTCAAAAGTTCCACCAGGTTCTCCAGCCGCAGGGGGCTGGAGTGGGTAACTGAATCCTACTCAAGGAGGGAAAAAAAAAAGCACAGTGACCTTTTGTCCCACAAGTTCCCGGCTTTCCCCGGCCGGCCAGCCAGCCAGCGGAGGCTGCCCAGCCAGCCAGGAGGGTAAGGAATTGCAGATGTGCGCCTAGGGCGGCCGCCCTCCCTTCTGCTCCCAAAGCCCCGCGGACACCTCGGCGTCGGCGTCGCCCGAGGCTGCGCCGCTATCCGGTCCTGGGCTCCCGCTCTTAGCTTCGGGCCAAGGCTCCGGGGAGTCACTGTCTCCCGCGTCTCCCAGAACCCTTCACCACAGGACCCACCCTTCTAGGGACAGGAGGAGGTTCATTTCGGGTCGCCAGAAAGACGCGCCAACCCTCCCGAGAGCACCCGGAGCTGCTCCGGACGCCCCAGGGCGGGCTGCTGACACCGCACAGGTGAGCTCGCCTGTCCTCGGTGGGCGCGGCGGACTGGGACTCGGGACCTCCACTCCGCGCCTAGGACGCTTAAGCTTGCTCGCGGCGGCCTTTGTGGGCCAACGGATGGAAGAGCCCTCCGGATCCATGGGGTGGAGATACCTCAGCGAGGAGGAGATCCAAGCCGGGGACCCGCCCCGTTTGCCTCTACTCTGTGCTGTCCCGACTTGGGTCTTCTCACACCGAGTTTAGACGTCCCCCTCCCCACGCCCCCCATGTCCCCGAGACGTCACCCCGGGGCCGGGCGCGGGGAAGGCAGGCCTGGCTAATGAAAGCCCCACGATCGCCGCCCCCAGCAGGTCCCCGGCGCCTGGCTCTCTGGCCTAGGCTCTGAAAGGTTGTGAGGGAGGCTGCCCTGCACTCACCGCACATGGTGGCTGCCGATCGCTCCAGACACTCAGACGACTCTCTGTGCCTCGCGCTCCCAGGCTCGGGCTCCCGCCGCTCGGCCTCCTGCCCTTATAGCCAGCCACTAGCCCTGAGAGGGGTGGGGCTGGGGCGGGGCCTCATGCCGCCTGCTTGCCCCTCATTGGTGGTCCCTGGTTGTCGTGACAACGGCGGGGGGCCCCCAAGACTCAAGGAAAGAAGTGAGGGGCGGCTCCCAAGCGTCAGTCCCTACTGTAAGGGGAGGGAGGAAGGCCAATCGGCGGCAAACACCTTGAGTTCAGACTTTAAGTCAGACATATTAGACGAGAAACCTTAGCCAGGGGGACCGATCGCTCTGTGCCTCAGTTTCCTCATTTGTAAACTATGATAACAATAGAACGTACCTCTCAGTTCCTCCTGAGGTTAAAGACAGGCCGGGTATGCACAGAGCGCAAACACACACACACACACACACACACACAAACAACCACACACAACCACACACTGGGCCCTTGTTCTTGTGATGTGCCCCTCAGATTAAGAAAAAGTAATACACATTAGGCTTGTGAACTTGTACACACACACACACACACACACACACACACACACACACACACACACTGGGTGTGCCACTCAGTGCTAAACTCCTTTTAGATTAATAAAAAGTAGTACACACTAGGCTTGTGAACTTGTACACACACACACACACACACACACACACACACACACACACGGCTCTTCTTCATGTAATGAGATCCTCAGTGCCAAACTCCTTTCAGACTAAGAAA